CTACCTACTAGTTCCTATTTTAAATTCATCAATTCCATTTCTACATATTTGTGATCATTCTTATATTTTAAATATGCCTAGATTTTCCTTGATTCCATGTATAGAAAACCAAAGGCCAAATATTTGAAAATACCTCAAGTTCATAACCAAAAAAAACACAGTAAGCTTATAAATGTCACATTGTGTTCTCTGATTTTCCTGAAGAATAGAGATTTAAAAAATACTCTTCCATTATATATAGAAATAAATAAAAATAGTTGACTGTAGGAGAAGGGAAGTTTCTGGGGTGAAAGAAATGCTTTCTATCTAGTTTCAGGTGGTGATTACAAGAGTGAATAAAACTGTCAATATTCATCAAACTGAACGCATTAGATATCTGTGTTCTGTTTTATATTATTCCCTCACAAAAAGGTTTTTAAAATCTTCTGTTCAAACCTCCATTTCCATAAAGCTCATATTCTTCTAAAGTAAATTTCATATCAATAATGTCTTTTTTGAATTGTCATACATGGTTGGTTTAAAAAAGTCATTCCGCAGTATCTTCCTTTTTCAGTCCATATTGTTAGTGGATTTAGTCAAAATGTTTATGTCTTTCCTTCCAGATTATCAGGGCCAAAACTGAACAAAAACCAAAGCCAGTCCTGCTGACCCTTAGATGAACCCCTGGGTCTCCATGGACTGATGCAGGCAGTGATTCATCACAGAGCTGCCTGCCATCTGCTGATTAGTTTTTCAGTCATCCTAATCAAATATAAGCTTATTTAATTTTTATAATAACATCTTCAGAAAGTGCACTGCTCAGTTTGCTAAAATTCAAATATATTTACTAGCTTAGAAATTAAATGTGAAAAAAACCCTACCATTTTACAGGCGTCTTTAGTTTATTTCAATCTCCCTTGACCGTCAGTTTTCAAGGACATTGTCTCCATTACATTCATCTCCACAAGAAGAAATGTGTAACACAACAAAGTCAAACTCCACTATGTCCCACAAACCAGGAGAACCAGAAAACCAAGAAGTCTTGGTAGTTCTTGAAAATAAAAAACAGGAAATTAACAATGTTGAACTCAAGGGAATTAAAAAACAGAGCAATAAATGGGTGAAGACAAGACAATTTTAAAAGAGAAAGACAGAGAGGGGAAAGAATTAAGTAGAACATGGGAAAACTCTTCTGTCCTCGGTTCTGAAATACTTAGAGAAGTTTTAGAGGGAATTAATCAAACTTCAAGACTAATTGTGGTCAGCATTTATAATTAACATCAAGCTATAAAAGTCCTAAACAGAAAAATCTTAGCTAAAAGCCTTTTAGAATCACAGGAAGTATTCGGCCTTTTAGTGTGGAGGAAAAAAAACAAAAATGAAAAAGAGTATCTATTATGGAGGCCTAAAAAAAAAAAGACTTTGATTGTTAAAATCCACACAGGTATGACTTTCTAGAGTTGAAACATTACAGCATTTCTGTAAGCAGTTACAGAAAATTCAGGCTATCGGCATGATAGACTAAGCACATTCTAGTAAGCTGGAAGTCACACCAGGGATCATTATTCATACAACTGTTCAATGAGTTTTTTTCTGAGTCAACTAACAATCCCCTAACTTATTTTTTGACATAATACAAAACTGACTTAAATAAGTGTTATAATATTGGAGTAACTAACATGCTGTGGGACTTCAGAGAAAATTGGGATTCATTCCTAATTCAGGTGGAGGGCAGGAAACTGCGGAGTATTACAACAGGGTGGCTTTCATGTGAGCCTTCAAAGACAGACAGATCTTGGACATTATTTGTCTTGATCACAGGACACATACTCATGAAAAATTACAAAATTTTGATCAGCAAAAGGAAGAAAACTAGTTCCACAAGAAACAACTCATAATCTCACTAATTGGAAGAATTACGATTGTGAACATTGACTTTTTTCTATAAGCAAGACATGAAGACTTATTATAATAAACATATAGTTTCTGGCACGCTTCTCTTAATATGTGGTAAGCATGTTTACATATTCCTGGAATTTATTTTCAGGTAATAATATCTCTTCATCTGTGTATATATTAATTTATTAACCAATTATTTTGTGAAATTTTTAAAATTTCCAACTGTTAATATACAGACATCTAATATGTGTTAAAACATTTTATATATATATATATATATATATAATCTTGGAGTAGGCATCAATTATTTCTTTATGAAAAATTCCTACAGGTGGAATTACTGACATACTGATATGACTTTTCCTCTATTTGTTAACTTGCTCTGTTATACTATATAACTCCCTTGACTCTACTTCTCTGTCCAACTACTGCGTCATTTCTTTGATCCCCTTTCAAGCAAAATAACTCAAGAGCTGTTTATATTCTCTACATCAGTTCTTCTCCTTCCTTTTCTCCCTTATAACCATTCCAATCAGGGTCTTCCCCAACCAGTCCACCAAAACTGCTCTTGTCCAAACAACCAATGACACTCCTTCTCTCCCATTTCGTTAAATCCCACGGCAAATATCATCCATCTCCTTACCTGATCATATAGTAGCTTGTGAGATAATCATTCTCTCCTAGAAACGTTTTCTTCCCTTGGATTCCAGGACACCACACACTCTTGGTTTCTCTTCTACCTCATCGGCCACTCAGTCTCCCCATTCGATGGACACTCATTCTCCTGGTGATCTCATCACATTTTGTAGCTTTAAATACCATCTTCCTGCCAATGAGTTCCAACAATTATCTGTGGTCTAGTTCTCCCTCCTAAATTCCAAAATCAAATACCCAAACTCACAAACATGGCAAACTTCACACGTCCAAAACTCAACTCCTGCTTTTTACTCCCCTTGCTTCAAAAACAAAGCAACCTGTCCCATCCAGTCTTTCCCCTCAAATGGTCATCCTTCCCATTGCTCAAGCCTAAAACAATCCTTCTTGATCTTTTTTCAATCTTCACCACTTTTAGTTCAAGAAATCTTGTTGATCCGATCTCTAAAATGTATCTAGAATCTCACCTCCCCCACTTCTATGACTCAGATCCATTATTTCTCCCCTGAATTATTTGAAGAGCCCCCACTATTCTCCTTGCTTTTGCCCTTAATCCCTATATCTATTTCCCACACAGAGGCCAGAGTGATTCTTTTAAAATGGAAGTCAGATGTTGTCATTCCTCAGCTCAAAACTGCATGGCCTTTCCATTTTTGCTTGTGTAAAAGCCAAAATTCTTACAACGCTTTGTACATCCTGCACTCAGTGCAGCCCAGCCACCTCCCATGTATCCTCTCTGACCTTGTCTTCTACTTTTTTCCTGGCTTTCTACTCCAGCCACCCTGGCCTACTAGCCATCTGAGAACTTATCAGGCATGTGATCGCCTCAGGGCCTTTGCACTGGCTATTCCATTCATCTGCCATGCTCTTCCCTTTGATTTCTTCATGGCTCAGTCCCTTAAGTCCATTAGCTTTTTACAGAAATATCCCTTTCCCTGTGAGGTCCTAACTGACTTCCCCTTTTGAAAGTGTCTCCACCCCATTTAGGAATTTACTTCTCTGCTTTTCTCCACAGCATTTATCAACTTTTGATGTAGTGTTTATGTTATTTGTGTAATATGTTTGTTTCTCTTGGTCCCCCCCAAAATCTATCTATAAAAGGAGGAATTTTTGTCTCATTCATTCAGTGCTAAAGGAGGGTCAGCATAACAGGTTCATATTTATGCTTTTGATCTATACTTTCAATTTGCTTATTTGCTTCTCAAGAAATGAAGGTATTTAAATAAGTAGATAAGCTGGAGAAGCAATTAAAGGCATACTATTGGCAAAACCACTGGCATGTAAAAAAGGCAAAACGGTGTACTGGTCACCAAGGTGCTCCTGATGTATCAATGTAGAGATACAGGACTTACTTAAAATAGGAACACATCAATGGAACAAGGAACATTTTAACCAAAAGCACAAAATCAACTTACTCCACAGTAAGAAAGGAAAGGATGAAGTGACAAAGGCATTCTACACTAGGATACTGATTGAGACGCTAGGCAACTTGGTGAAAACTCATCACAATTAATTTTGAGAAAGTGTCAAAGTGTATTGGGGAGGGCAGCTGTCTTTGAAAAGGTAACAAAATCTGTGGAAGCTCCCAAGAAAATGAGATGTATCTAAAAGTTTACAGAGTTCACCACCCTCCTAGAAACCTATCCACAGACCACCATGAGCCAGAGATTGAGAATCCTAAGTAAGAAAAAACCACCCCACTTAAATATTATTTCAGCATCATAACAACCACTTGGATGAAAATGATGCCTAGATGAGAACGTAGGTAGTTGCAATATTGAGTTATAATATTTTGAATGAATATAAAGTTGAAGTTTACTTCACTAGAAGAAAGAGAATCCAACTGCTATGTCTTAAATGTTAAATTCTTAATAAGTATGTAGAATTAAACATCCCAAAGTTACCTCGGTGAACGTTTAAATTGAAAGTTTCTTATTTTAACTTAGTGTAAATAATTTTATATCAAGCTTAAATATCAGAAGGAAGACTATTTAGGTATTGGTAATTTGACTTCTTGTTTTTCTAAATTGAAACCAGCACACATTCCATCCAAACAATCTGAGCTATTGTCTCTGGCTTCTGTACAACTTTATCATTAGCATCTTTCATATAAATAATTCACCAAAATGTCATTAATGAGTCTTGCTTCTCTACCAAATGCCCGTTCTCTCTGTACCTCAGAATCCAGAAAAATTAAAGGAAATTAAGCTTGAATAGTTTTTCTCGCTCAGCTATATCGCTGGAGAAGGATGTGGTAAGGGAAAGGAGAGGGTCTTATTTACATCTAAGTATAAACAGCTCTTTACTCACTGAGACCACTCACTGCACTGTAAGAATGCTAGTGCAGACGGCATCTCTGTTTAAAATCTTCTCCATACCTGATATCTGATGCCAATCCTTAGAGTGATAAAAGGCCACAAAAGCAAATCCAGAGGCATAGAATTTAAATATAGTCAGTCCCAAAAGGTCTCTCTGGTTGTTTTCTGTTCCCTGTTGCCAGTCATCAGAGAACGAATTTACCAACAGCCATCAACCGAGCACATCCAAGCTGGATGCAGGCCAAGAACAAGCACTGTTGTTGAAATCTGGGCAGCGAGGTGGAAGGGTGACCGGTGCACCAGTCGGATGAAAACATGCGGGGACTCTTGAGCAGCAGCTGGAGGAAGTTTGGACATGCTGGCCGGGGGACGTACGAGTGGTTAACTAGCGAACCAAGCCTACCTCTTCCAGAAACTCAGCTGCAGGTCTGTACCTCCGACTTATGCCTTTTCTTCCCAGAGTATCTTTGTTAGCTTTAAAGCCAACGATGCCTTTATTTTTAGGAAAACTCAGTGGCATCATTTTGCATTCCGGGTGTGACAAAAATGACTTCACTGAGTGGCATGGTCTAAGGAGGCAACTTAAAAGAATACAGCAAAAGTTGTATTCTTTTGACAATGATAAATTCAAGTAAAAGTTGCCACAAATATATTCTAAGAATATCAGTATATCAAATATAATCAAAGAACACCTAAAACTAGGAGTCAACAAATTTTTATACTTTGGGGTTACAAATTTGTTCTCTGCTCAGGAAGCAATGTCTACGTATGCAAAAAGGAGGAACTCCATGGGGCTCCCCAGCTGTTTCTAAGAGTTTGCAGAAGCCAAGGACCTTACTTTAGGAAGGGTAGCAGAGGGTTAAGGAGGTTTTGCCTCTCGCTAACAAATGCAGCTGCTGCTTTGCTTTGTCTGGGAAATCACCAAAGAAGTCACGATCTAAGGCAGCATTAAAGAGAAATATTTGTAAAAATGTAAAAACTCAATTTGATGATCAGCAAGGAAATGAGTGATACTGCTGTCCCACAAGAAAGAGGGAAACAACCCTATGTTCTTGTTTTCTGGAAAAATCAAGTGGTATTTAAATTCTCTAAGACCACGTTTTACAGAGAAAAAAAAATTATACACACTTACGTATATATATAATGAGTAGTTACAGTTTTAGTTGGATATTTCTTTGAAGTATTCCCTGAATAGCAAAGTCCTTGAGTTAATATACACATCAGAGAAACACTAAAAGTGAAAAAACACTTTGAGAGTTGTGAACAAATTAGAATATTTGACTAAAAAAGTCATCCTTTCTGCATTAAAAAAAAAATCCACAGCAATTTGAACCGATTTATCATGAATCATTAAATAAACAAATTAAGGATACCATCATAAATTTGTTCTAGAGCTCTGTGATCTCTTAACTAGAAAAAAAGAAGAGCTCTTTATCCCCCCAGATTGTCCTAATCTGCTGGGTTAGATAAGGCTTTTAGTGCCACTCGACACTTGGCCAAATGGAACTCAACCAATGGAAGTGCCGATCACAGAAGGGGACTGTAGCATCTCCACTTTCACAAATTTTGCAATTAATACCGTTACTGGCATAACTGTAAACAAGAAGGTCTGTTACATAAAAACTTTTAAATAGAATATTAAGTTTCTTTACATTCTCTGCATATCAAACTTATGAGTATAATAAAACATTTAAAATTTGATGCCCACAATTGTTTAGAAACGATTATCATCCACATTATTGAAGGAGAATGAGGGAAAAAAAGCTATGCAAAATGATCCGTGTTTATCAAGCCTGAAGAGTGACTGTTTAAAGTATTAAGAGATAATAACTCTAACATTTTAAATAATTCATCTAAGGGGAGAAAATTCACACAGTTAAATTGCTTTTTGACTCCGACTTGATTTTGTAATAATTGTAGTAACTTTATTTACGAGTTCATCTATTCTTATAGATTTTATAATCAGGATCTGTTACATCACAACAGATTAAGTTAAGAGTTCTGATAAACCAGATTATGCATAAGAAAACAGAATTCACAGTTCATTGATTCATTTAAGTCTCATGCCAATGCTCCAAAACAGATGTTCTCATTTCCATTTCATAGAGAAGAAAACCCAGACCCTTAGGGCCAAGTGAATGGTCCATGGTCATGCAGGTATCAGAATATCATATTGGAATCCAAGGTCAGAGCTGTCAAACCCCAAAGATGATGCTCTGCTTCCCAAGAAAATCCTTAATTTTTATGCACTTTAAACTAAAACATATATTTTTTTTAGTGGAGGTTATAAGGATTGAACCCAGGACTTCGTACATGCTATGCACACATTCTACCACTGAGCTATACCCTCCCCTCCCCACAAGCTAAAATAACTTAACTCATATCTTACCAAAGACAAAATATCTGGCAGTGTAAATATTAAATAAACCATTTAATTTTGAGTCAAATTAACACACCTAGTTCTAAATTCCTTGGGAATTAAAAAAGATTATAAAACAACACTAGATAAGACATTCTCTTAAGAAGTCAAGACCAGCAAAACATGTTTTTTCGACCGAAATCAAGGCAAAATCCTAAGCTCTCATAGGTTTATTATTTTAAGTTTTATCTTAAATCCTTAGATAAAGAACTTACTATGTTGTTTTTTAAACACCATTGTAAGACTTCGCACTGTTTCCTTTTCCTCCGTAGTAGTGGGAACTAACATCACACTGTTGCTGTGTGTAGTATATAACAGAGAAGCTTTTCAATACTTGATTACTTTTTAGCTTTATTTAAGGCAATGTCGAAGCAATTCGGAACAGGACTTATTTTTTCATAGGAATTTTCTACCTTGCTGTTGAAGTATTTATTGTTTCATGCCTATTGTATTATTTACTCCATCAAGAAACATCATCATTCTTGTAAGCTGATACTATAAAATCATATCTTTTTTTAAAAAAAGAAAGAAAAAAAATCTTTTAAGTTGCTTAAGAATTTATCTGCAATTCTTTTTTTTGAGAGTTCAAAATTTCCCTATTCATCCTACCAATACTGCAAAAACAAACTGAGGGAATTTCAAAATCTCAGTCATTATAAGCATTGGCTATCAGTGGGGAGGGTATAGCTCAAATGGTAGAGCACATGCTTAGCATGCCTAAGGTCCTGGGTTCAATCCCCAGTACCTCCTCCAAACAGAAATAAAATAAATCTAATTACCTCCCCCTCATAAAAAATGAACAAAAGCAAAATAAAGCAGCAACATTAAAAAAAAATAAGCATTGGCTAGTTGGCTATCAAATCAAATTTCAAATGTTATTTATATGAGATATGAGCACATAACAACATCAGATTTTGCTCCAGAATTAAAGAAGTAATTTCCATATGATCCTTCTGTGGCAATAAAACCTTATTCTAACGTTTATTTCTAAATGTCTAATTCTAAATAAAATAAGGACATAAAGAGTAAGAGTTCTCATTCAAAGAATGAGTGATGAACCTGCCAACTAAAATTTATTCTAGAATTTTTATTTCAGGGAAATATTGTAAGGTATCCTGGTGTATTTTGACATTCTGAATTCGTACTTTATCATGTAAATGCACTTCATTGCATGTAGGCTCAAGTTCGTTGGCATCGATGAGTGATGAGAGTGATTTTTAGAGTGAGTAATGATGGTGAGAAGAATGCATGGTGAAGACAAAGACTTAGAAACACAGAGGTCTTCCTTCCCCCACGTCCTCATTCAGTTTCCTTTGCTACCTCCAGGGCACCCGGAAGATAAGTTCCACCAGGGAAGACTTGGAGCCCTTCCTGTGCATCCTTCTTCCAGCCACCATCCTGCTCTTCCTGGCCTTTCTGCTGCTTTTCCTGTACCGCCGCTGCCAGGCTCCTCGGCCCCAGGGGCAGGTGTCAGGCATCGACCTCCCAGAGCAGCCACCTGCCAGGGAGGGGACCGACTTCCTGCCAGGTTTACCCTGGAGCAGCGAGCAGGACTTCCCCTACTCCCCTCTGCCCCGGGGGGCAGCCCTCCTCCCTGCGTGTTCACCGCCTTCCTACGAAGAGGCCACCAGGGACACCTCTGGGGAGGAGGTCCCGGATGCCGGCCCTCAGCGTGAAGAGGGCTCACCTGGCCTGCATGAGCAAATGTAAACTGCTCGTGGAAACCACGGAAAACCCAGCCCTCAGTCCCTCGCAGAGCCCACCTGAGAAGGGGGACCAGGGCCTCTGGACCCAAAATGCGGCTATTCACTGGCGGACACCTGGATGAAGAGGTAAATGTCAGTCTTGTTCATACATTTTCAAGTTCTTTAGGGAAAAAAATCTCCCCAGGTTGTTGTAAAGATGACTGAGCTTTTCTATTAACATATAACACCCCTGAGAAAAACGAGAAAGTTCTATGAGTTGAGGGAAAGAAAAAAAATTACTAGTGAGCATAAGAACTAGCTCTGAAGACAAAGAAAACAGAAGAATGCAGATACGCCAAAGACAATTGCTTTTGCCACCAAATAAAACTTTCCTTCCGAGTTTTTCAGGGCTTCATCGTTTCACTTCTGTGAGGGCTTCAAGACGCACAGAGAGTTCTAGAAGGCGGGAAAACCACCTATAGAGCTGCCGTGGTCAATGTGGTGGTGTAAATAATGGCGAAATATGTTTCAATATTAATAATGAAAGAACAGACATTTGCAAACACTTTCGTTAAAAAAAAATAAAGCTCTCCAAAAGTATCTCCTTTGGTCTGTCGCTCTTGCTTATTGTCTTCTGATTTGCTTCCTAGAAAGGGACAAGGATTTGGCTTAGTTATGTGGGAATGTCTCACCCCAGAACATTGTGGGTTGTCCGATCGGCAGGACAGAGTGGCTGCTCTGACATGTTATTTTAGGGGACACTGTGACAACAGGTGCCTTCACCAAGCAGCAGGAACAGAGTAGAAAATCAGTTTCACGTCAGAAAGTAAAGGTCAAAATCTTGGATCGCACGGTAAAGACAAACACAGAGAAGCTCTAACGGGGATCTTATAAATCACAAAGTTCAAACTCTTGCTTAGCAGATGTCAAAACTAGAGCTCAGAGAGGATAAGTAACTTGTCTGCTGTTAAATACCTCAAGAGAGGCAGAGCTGGGGCCGGAAGCCTGGCCTCTCTGTCCTGGGCTAGAGCCCCTTCCACGGTGCCAGATGGTCTCCCAAGAAAACCGCGAATGTGGAATTTCAGTCCCCACTCCTGACTGGGAGTCAGGGCTCTCTGCAGAATAGCACAGCTGAGTTTGGAACGGTTACAAATCTCCCTCTGTGATTTTCAAGTGGGGACATAGAGGTGGGTCATGCACCACTTGGGGGGGTCTATCAGGTTACCCACGGGGTCAGGAGGAGGCAGGAGGGTGACACACATGGTTCTTAAACTCTCGCTCAATGCTATAATTTTGGGGGGAAACTATTGTTTTCACAGTACAAAATGCAAAACTAAACCTTTTGATGGTCCAAAATGAACCAAAAATATGAAGACTCCTTTTTAAACCTTTTTGACATGAACATTTTTATTCTAGATATGAATGGGATACTGTTTTAGAAAAATAACAAAGTAAGCCAAAAGAGGATATGTTACTTTCTAAATGTAATCCGACAGAAATAATAGTAATATCTTTGAGGACTGAAGCAAAATACAAACTATTTGAAAACCAATAAAATTTCTTTCAGGAAAACTGTGCTGAACAATTCTCTAATGGTCTTTAAGGGAAGTAAATAAATGGAAATGAGAAACTAAGCAGACAGCCTTCTTTTTTTAACCCTAAGAATCTAATTCTGTGTGAGACATGTTGATTCTTTCCCGACTGCCATTTCTTCCTTTTCCCTTGCTAGCAGAACCTAGACTTAGTTCTGGGATCCTGGGGCCACCTTTGAAAGGCAGATCAGATCCTTCCTGACGCCAGGGGATGTGTCATGATCGTTAATCACAGTGATCTCAACTTCTTCACCAAGGGATGATTTGGTCTTTGAGCCCTAAGGGGAGATCCACACAGGAGGCGAGGCTTGGTTCCAAAAAAGACGGCCTCATATTAAAAATAAATGCAAAATAAATATTCTCCCTCTTTGCTGGATGTCATGCATCTGCATGTGATACCTTGGGCTGCTACAGCCATCTTGTGACCATGAGGCAACATATCAGCCAGGACTAGTATTGAGCGTGAGAGAGTAGAAAGATGGAAAACACCTGGGTTGATGACATTGCCGAGCAGCTGAATAACCTGCAACTGTTTCTATTCTAATGAGAGAATACCTTTCCTGCGGTCTGAAGCCATTTTTAAGCCATGCTTGTTACTTCTAGACAAAAGCATCCCAATTGCCACAATTTCAAAGGCTATTAAGGAAATGCATCGCCATGTTTAAAAATATTCTGGTAGACTTACTTCAATAAGTATGCAACGCTAGGACTCAGTTAACATGTTATCAGTGATGTCACTAAGGAAACACTTACTCTAATGGAACCAGATGAAGCAGTGAAGAAAATAAACCATTAACCAGGGACTGCCAGACTACAGCCCCCAGGCCAGATCCCACTTGCAACCTGTTACAGTACATCCTATGGGCAAAGACTGATTTTTAGATTTTGTTAATAGTTGAAAAAAAATCGAATGAATAATATTTCACGACATGAAAATTATATAAATTTGAATTTGGGTGTCTAGAAATAAAGTTGGAACACAGCCACGCCCACTTGCCTACAGCAGTCACATCAAAGTCAAGCAGTCACAGCAGAGACTGTATGATTTTCAAAGGCTAAAATATTTACTATACAGTGCTTTAAAAAAAGTTTGCTGATCCTTGCTACAGACCAGCAAACTTTAACCCTATTTGCATGGTAGAATTACCTGAGGAACCTTTAGAAATACTGATATCAGAATCCATCTAGACCAATTAAATAGAATTTAATAGACCAGGTGATTCTAATATAAAGGCAAGCCTGAAAGCCATTTCTCTAGGTCATGTGAGTGGGTACAAAATAAAGGTGAGCATCAGCACAAACAGATGGAAGGTAATAGGTTTAGAGAAAACTCAATCTGTAAAGCTAGCTTTGAGCCATCATTTATAACCCAACATTCCCTGTGAACTCTTCCCCGAAACCAGCAGCCTAATGTGCGTCTGACGCCAATTCAATTCACGAAGCAGGGTTTGCAAGCAGCATATTAGAGCAGTGTAAACAGTACATCCCTGTTTAAATGTTGACACAGTTGGCGCACACGGGTAGTCCTGTTGTTAGCACTCCAAGACAGACAGCGAAACTGAAGAAAATCCACAAATGAAAGAACCAGACTGTTAACAGCTAAAAAGTGTCTGGGGAAGCAATCACTGTAGCCAGAAAAGACTGAGAATGGGAGGGGGTATAATAGGAATGGTGATTAGAATGTAGACATTTTTACTAAGTTCTGCAGTGGACCAGAAAATACCGCCCAGGCATCATTTCATACAAAGGAAAAGGAGTGCAGTTTGCAGTCTGGCATGTAAGGAGCGTGAAAGTCATTCCTCCATCTTAACAACAAGAAAAATCCAAACAAATTGAAAAGCCAACTCTTTTTAAATTCATCAGAGAACTGAGGTCACAGGGCAAACCACTGGCCCCCAGATTAGAGAGACGGGCAGGTACGGAGAGTCACGACTTACTGGAGCAGAAACTCACGAGCAGGAACCTCCTCAGGGCCCAGCGGCGGGTGGGGAAAGCCGACCTGTGAGAGGGTTGCTGGAGCTCAGAGTAGACACTTCTGAGGCCTAAAAACTCCAAAGAGACCCCACATTTTGTGAGTTTTGCCTCTAGGATCCCTACCAGATGCTGACCGCGCAGATCTGGGAGAAAATCTTCTCACGCTTCCAGCGGGAGGGGAAGAGGAGCCATTTTGAAATGTGCCAGAGCTTTCTGTTCTTAACAAGGTCTGCCCACAGGTGAAGCTGTTTTACCAGGGCCCTGCCTGCTGGGGTTTCATCAGAGCCTGACCTGGGGAAAGGAAATTCTCAGCTCCAGCTGCGTCTGGTCTTATACTGGGGGAGGGAAATACCCACCTCCAGCCCCTTGAGCCATCTCCTTCCAATTAAGGGGGTGGGGGGAGAAAAAAAAAAAGGCAGAGAAGCGCTCGTGAAGTTCACAGCCCAGGAGCACAGGCTCACTCAAGACTGAGACCCAATCATGAAACAGCGAAGCATTTTCCCTTCCCCCACACCTAACCATCACATCATTAAAGGCCTATTTACTGCCTCTACATCAAGTTCACTTTTCAAGAAAAAATTGTAAAGCGTACGAAAAGGCAAAAACTACAGTTTGAAGAGACAGAGCAAGCATTAGAAACAGATTCACATTTGGCAGGAATGTTTTGGGAATTACCTGACCAGGAATGTAAAATAAGTATGGTTAATAGGCAAAGGGCTGTAACGGAAAAAACAAAAAACAAAAAAACCGACCACATGCAAGCACAGGCAGGCAAGGCCTGCAGAGAAATGGAGATTCTAGGAAAACACCAAAAAAACAAAAAACAAAAAACCTACAAATGCTAGAGACCCAAAACATTGTAACAGAAATGAAGAATGCTTTGATGGGCTTACCAGTAGACTGGACACAGCTGAGGAGAGAATCTCTGAGCTTAAGGAAATATTAATAAAACTTCAAAACGGAAAAGTACAGAGGAAAAAACTGGGGAGGGGGGGAAGACTATCCAAGAAATGAGACGACTATAAATGGTGTTACATACGTATAATGCAAATACCAGAAAAAGAAGAGGAAGAGGAAGGAACAGAAGAAATATTTGAAGCAACAATGACAGCAAATTCTCCCTAAATTAATGTCAAACCACAGATCCAGGAAACTCAGAGAACATCAAGAAAGAATAATGCCAAAAAACACTACCCCCAGGCACATCATATTCAAACTGCAGAAAATCAAAAATAAAGAAGAAATCTTGAAAGAAGTCACAGGAGGGGAAGAAAAGCCTGACCTATTGAAGAGAAAGATGAGAATTACGCACAACTTCTCAGAAACCACATAAGCAAGTGGAGCAGAGTGAAATTTAAACGTTCAGAGCTAACAACACCAACCTGAATTCTGTACCCTGCAAAATTGTTCTTCAGAAGTGAAGGATAAATATAGGCTTTCTTAGACAAACAAAAACGGA